CTTCGAGATATAGCATGCTTATGATTCGTTTTCCTGAGGTACAGTAGGCCCACGGTTTACTCCTTCGAGATATAGCATGCTTATGATTCGTTTTCCTGAGGTACAGAAGGCCCACGTTTTACTCCTTCGAGATATAGCATGCTTATGATTCGTTTTCCTGAGGTACAGTACTCCCGAGATATAGCATGCTTATGATTCGTTTTCCTGAGGTACAGTAGGCCCACGGTTTACTCCTTCGAGATATAGCATGCTTATGATTCGTTTTCCTGAGGTACAGAAGGCCCACGTTTTACTCCTTCGAGATATAGCATGCTTATGATTCGTTTTCCTGAGGTACAGTAGGCCCACGGTTTACTCCTTCGAGATATAGCATGCTTATGCATGCTTATGATTCGTTTTCCTGAGGTACAGAAGGCCCACGTTTTACTCCTTCGAGATATAGCATGCTTATGATTCGTTTTCCTGAGGTACAGTAGGCCCACGGTTTACTCCTTCGAGATATAGCATGCTTATGATTCGTTTTCCTGAGGTACAGTAGGCCCACGGTTTACTCCTTCGAGATATAGCATGCTTATGATTCGTTTTCCTGAGGTACAGTAGGCCCACGTTTTACTCCTTCGAGATATAGCATGCTTATGATTCGTTTTCCTGAGGTACAGTAGGCCCACGGTTTACTCCTTCGAGATATAGCATGCTTATGATTCGTTTTCCTGAGGTACAGTAGGCCCACGGTTTACTCCTTCGAGATATAGCATGCTTATGATTCGTTTTCCTGAGGTACAGTAGGCCCACGGTTTACTCCTTCGAGATATAGCATGCTTATGATTCGTTTTCCTGAGGTACAGAAGGCCCACGTTTTACTCCTTCGAGATATAGCATGCTTATGATTCGTTTTCCTGAGGTACAGTAGGCCCACGGTTTACTCCTTCGAGATATAGCATGCTTATGATTCGTTTTCCTGAGGTACAGTAGGCCCACGGTTTACTCCTTCGAGATATAGCATGCTTATGATTCGTTTTCCTGAGGTACAGAAGGCCCACGTTTTACTCCTTCGAGATATAGCATGCTTATGATTCGTTTTCCTGAGGTACAGTAGGCCCACGGTTTACTCCTTCGAGATATAGCATGCTTATGATTCGTTTTCCTGAGGTACAGTAGGCCCACGGTTTACTCCTTCGAGATATAGCATGCTTATGATTCGTTTTCCTGAGGTACAGAAGGCCCACGTTTTACTCCTTCGAGATATAGCATGCTTATGATTCGTTTTCCTGAGGTACAGTAGGCCCACGGTTTACTCCTTCGAGATATAGCATGCTTATGATTCGTTTTCCTTAGGTACAGTAGGCCCACGGTTTACTCCTTCGAGATATAGCATGCTTATGATTCGTTTTCCTGAGGTACAGTAGGCCCACGTTTTACTCCTTCGAGATACAGCATGCTTATGATTCGTTTTCCTGAGGTACAGTAGGCCCACGTTTTACTCCTTCGAGATATAGCATGCTTATGATTCGTTTTCCTGAGGTACAGTAGGCCCACGGTTTACTCCTTCGAGATATAGCATGCTTATGATTCGTTTTCCTGAGGTACAGTAGGCCCACGGTTTACTCCTTCGAGATATAGCATGCTTATGATTCGTTTTCCTGAGGTAGAGTAGGCCCACGTTTTACTCCTTCGAGATATAGCATGCTTATGATTCGTTTTCCTGAGGTACAGTAGGCCCACGTTTCATTCTGTCTGTAGAATGCAGATCAATATGCACGATTCACATTATCGCTTTATCATAGGTCTACATTTCAATCATCACTTATTTTGATATTGCATGTCAACGTTTCAATCTATCCAGATATTATAGATCAACGTTTTACTTTAAATATTGAATCTTAATTTTGGTGATTTTCATGGGACTATAAATTGAGTTGCCCCTGATACAAACACCACAGTTCACATTGTTGTTTTTTCCTAAAAAGCAACTCAATTCATCATCCGTTTCCATGAAGACAAAAGCAAGATTAATTTCACTTAAGTAGTTTGTTCCCAATATTTGAACAATTCCAATTTTGCAGGTACTAGATCGTGTGCAAGTCTAATGAGTTGCGTTAAGATATATAGTCCGACATTTTGAATTAGGTGATGCCCAAACACTATTACTCAGGTAAGACACGACTATGCGACACAAAACAATTTTGTCAATAATATTAGAAACATTGAAAATTCTGCACCAGCTACGAGGAAGAATAAAGTCTCTGCGTTCTGCGGTCGTCTCTCGCTTCACTTCGTACTGTGAGGCAGCCATTTTAAAACTGCTATGGAATGTGTTTTGTGACCTGTCTCAGTAGCCTAACTATCCAAGGCATGAAGAACTGTCAGTAAGCAGTTCTGTATCAAAATCGCTCATTGGACGTTCTAGGTCTTGATGCAGACTTTCATTTACAGACAGTGGGAAGTCAAACAATTTTTAGCAGACGACATTTGCATTGTCTTAAGCAGATATCAAAGCATGGAAACTCAATCTGCTCTGCTAAACCATAATGTAATAGTTTGATTTATTTGATACTTGTCCTAAATGTTATTTATCTTTCTACCATAACCTGCGTATGTTATCTCACGCCCAGACTATTCATTAAACACCATATCCATTGTTTATCCATACGCATAATACACACGTGTATTATTGGTGACAGCCAAATCTATTGGACGAGGCATTGGCTTTTGACCCAACCATGATCTGTGACCCCGAACTACTTTCGCCACGTGCGATTATTTTCATCGTCTGCTGTCCATCATCAACATGGCTGACAGTGACGATCTGTCACTCTTGCCGGCGGTCAAGATCGGTGATGCGGTAAAACTGTGTGGAGGGGGAAAGGGGATACTAATTGCTAAATACAGTAATTTTGGTTTCCTAACCTTTGATATTAGGTTGGAGACGTCTGAAACGGGTATAGGCCTATGTGCAACCAGCCACATGAGGTCAACGGCGAATGTGACAGGGCAGCCATTTCATTCTGTCATCGGTGGTCCAGTGTATGGAGGCACAATGAACATCAACATTCACAATAATAAATCTTTTTCTCGAAAACGGCCAATCGTGATGTACAGTTCTGATGAAAGAGATTAGAAGTTCTCGAAATTACACGCCATCTTAATCGTGTCTGCATTTACATTTTCCCGCGAAAAAGCACTACTCTTATCCTCAATAAAATCTAGTTCCAGATTATTTTCATTTAAAAGATTAACAATTTATGTAATTTTGTAACGTGTTTCAATGAATTAATGTTACAAGATGTTTCCAAACAAGATTACTGAATAAATAAGTATTTTGCTTCAAAAATAGCGATTTTGTCTCTTTTTGCATATCAATGAGCCAATCAGACAGCCTACGATGTATTCTTACGCGAAAGTGTCAATGGGGGCGAAACAATGTTGTACACAATATATATATATTTACGTTAAAAGGATATGGTAGAAAGAAGTTCTACAACTCGTGGCAGTTAATTATCATCGTTATCAAACTCTCGTTAGTTAATTTTTTAAATTTAGAAAAGACACGAGGCTCATTTTTTATTCTGCAAATCTGGTGCAAAATTGATTACTTTTACTTAAAGTTTAGCATCAAATATGTATCCCCCTCACAGAATTTGTAAAGGATGTATTCATATTTCCAGATCAATGTTAATCGGATGAAATTCATGGACAAATGAAACGGACTAAATTAGGTCGTTTCCAAATTACGCTGCAAGACAGTTGATGGAAAAACGTGAGTATGTTGAATTATAAGTCAGTTCTATAATAACCATGGTTTTGTTGTTAAACACATTTCCTTGCGCGATATGAAATAAAATGTGTTGCATGTGTTTTTCTATAATCATTAGTTTACCATGGTTTTATTGTTATTTTACCTATGTTCTCACTTTGAAACGTTACATAACAAATTTGGATGGATTAAGATTTTTATGAGAAGTATGTCCATGAAGATGAAGGCATTTATCCGTCTTTGAGAACACCTGGTCATGAACTTCTTATGCTCCTTACGTGACAAACAATTTGTGATCGTTTTGAGCTTTAATTGACATATCGATCGTCAGATCAGATCTACATTTCAATCTATCCAGACACAGAAGAATACAATAGTGTTCTATGGCGATATACAGGTCATTTACATTTGCACGGCAATGTCTACAAAACTTAACCAAAGAGAAGCGCAATGTACTGTTACAGTGCTTATCGTTAACCTTATTTTTGTGATAAAAACAACTTTGTCGAATTTCAAAATGGTTTTCTTACGATAGGCTTTACAGCCAGTATTGAATACCTTGTTTTAGTTGATGTCGAGTTATGAGCTTCATTATATGCATGGAACATATCTACAAACAGTTAGTTGTCGTAACTTGTATGGTACAAGTAACAATACATAACGGTACTTAGCAGATTATCAGTAGTTAGTAGCAGCGGTCACCACCAAGACGTCTACATAACCTCTGTCATTTATACCGGCATGAATTTCATAACAATATCGATACTTTGATTCATAAATGCCATTAGACTTGTTGATTGTGAATTTTGTCTTTTTAACTGGGTCTGAAATTACACACTGCTCAGTAACTAGAGATGTTAAGTTGCATTACACGGAAGAAAAATGGGACGTTGTCTCTTTGGGTTTAAATTGATATTTCTTTACATTTACTTTCGGTTCTCGATGCAATAAACCATAGAAGATGTAAGACGGTTTGGAAATAGGATATTCTGATACGTAGTGTTTTTATAGATCAAGATCAATGTGATTATATCAGAGATTGGTATGCCATTTACAAAGCCAGTATGCCATCGCTAAGCACATGCAGCTAATCCGTAGTATCTAGCGTCCTGTGTCGCACGAGACATGGAAACATTTCGTGTGTACTAGGCCACTGTTTAAACTCTCAGTGGAATAATAAATACATCACTTGGAAAAATATGCAAGTTAGATTAAATTAGTTTTTTCTAAAAACAAACTGGAAATAGACAATGAGTATCACTTTAATATGCAGTTGATTGATGGCAAAATTCTTTTACACAAAATGAAGGACAACTATCGTTCTAGCGCGCTACACTTCCATGAGCAGTTGTATTTTCTTCCAATCTAGCTCAAACAAGTACATGAAAGCAGATATGTCTCCAGCTTCTTAATTTACATGAACATTTTCTGCAACATAATTATATGAATCATAAGTTTTATACATTTTCGTAATTATTTTGAAAACAAGGAATCAATATTGACCTGAAAACGCTCAAATGGTTAACTGTAAAACATCAAATTGTTTCCGTCGTCATAGCTAAATATACATGACCATAACGCGGCATTACTGTCATTGTCATCAACAATAAACTAGGACACCGTCAGCTCAATGATTCGTAGGGACGTATGAGATGACGCGGTGATGCTGCAGCTACCTGGTGGTCTATGATTTCTAAATTGATGATCAACCTAAGATTTGTAATGATATCCTGTTCTGATCCACCTTGAGGTCATTAGGGACAATGCGAGATCATGGGATGTCTTTTAACTATTATGAAAGTTATACATTTGACGGTGTTCAGCACTGAACATAATCGAATTATGGTTCCCTCCACAGTAGGGGGATGGATGTCCGTTATGTCTTCAGAGTACATGATCCATGGGGCTTCATAAAACGTCCGTTCACCTCATTTCAATGAATTCCTGCCTGTTCGAATCTCTCTGTGGTAGGCCCAGGTAACACGTCTTACAATCGGTCTCCCCAGGTCGCGTTCTCATTGATCCATTTGCCGAGTCCATGGCATATTCCCGTTTCCATGACGACCTATTATTATAGTTTTGTGCTCCTTTTTTGGCTCCATTGTGGTTACTACGTGACGACCATAATAGTCTGCCATTGACCGATGTTTCACTATGTCCATTATTGGAGGGTACACGTGACACTTGGGAGCCGTGTCGCCAGGACGACATAAATGCAGTTCTGGTGTAGACGTAGCTGTCATGACGCCCGAGTGCATATCTGTGCCAAAATCGCTGGATCTCGAGGTGGACCTGAAACACATGTGTTATATGGGAAATTTATTAATTTTAAATCAGAAATTTACACGCCTATTTTTATTCTTTGAATTATAGAATACTATATTGATGCAGGGGAAAAGGGAAAAATTGCAAAATAAAGGAGATGTTTGGTAAATCTTTTGAATCATTCGCCTTTTAACAGAAAAAAATCAGCCAATTACAATGAAGAAAACGGCGATAATTTCCATTATTTGATTGATTGTTTTGATATTCACATATTGTCCAAGAAGTCACTGTAAAGTTTTGTCCATACATAACATTGATTTCAAGGACTAGTGATCTCCTGCACAAAAGATTAATATAACCAGGCCGTTAAACTGCCGTCTGTACCTGTTGCCTTGTGTCAGTTACATCGACAACATCGCATTTAATTTGAATTTCAATACAAATGAATTTTCAATTGTTATATATAGAAATACAATTGACTGCGGTTCTTTGCAAGGATTCAGGCATTTAGTACCACCTACGTTAATGTTTAATGTATTATGATATGGCGGTCATATCATGAAACGTTTATTTATTTTACAGAGAAAATTCTCCCTTTCAGAGAAAACAGATCTTCACCGTGGACACTTAAATGTATATTATCGAATTGATAACAAAGTTGATATTTCATCAACAAAGATATCATCGATAGATATCATATCAGCCGTTTTTCCTAAATTCAGAAATAGTAAAAACGCGAGGTCAAAACATATCTAGACTCTGAATGTATGTATTATGAAATCAACAGATATATATTTACGTTTTGTGTTATTTTTACCTATCAATTCGATAAGTCTAGATCTTATACAAAGTAATGGGTAAACATTTCAGATCAACAATATGACTCATTTTGGCACCATTCTGAAACAAAAACAACGAAACAGAATTATGATTCTCAAATTCGACCAAAGTATATTGATAAAGATTGATATGAAGATTGATAAGAAGGTGCAAGAAAATCAGACCAGATGTTTCAGAAGAGTAAGCGTCTTCTTTGTCATCGACAAACCCGCCATATACACCATGGTTAGGACCACCTTGAACGCATTGCGCAGAGCATCATATGACATACACAGATTAACATTTATGAAATTCATCAAGATGATAACGTCTTTTTTTAAAAACACTAATATCACTATTTCTAAAATATCATCTTCAAAGAAATATACCGAATGCCATGATTGTTCATCTGTCGCCCAGATTGCATTACTATCGACAATAAATACACTGATGACCGTTCAGTTGTTAAGGGACCTATTCAAACACCACCATATGGACACTGTTTTGCAATATGCAGCTTCCAACAGGCACTTAAGGGTTAAAAAAAACCCCAATAATTAAGTCTTGATTGGTGTCTAAATAAGATCATGCAATAAGACGATGAAGGTTTTACTGACGTGCTGTGAGACGTATTAGTCAGCAAAGTGAGCCATCAAACCTGACAGTCGGAATTAAATAAGATATCATTATCTAGTTTTTATTATATCATAGGCATATTCTATCAATTCCATCGGTAGTGTCATAATAATTACAATCCCTCTCGGTACAATCGCGCTATCTATGACGTTAACGCTGCGTAAATCTCTTTTATACATCGGTAGGGCACTGAGTTAGTTTAACATTCTGTAATGCACTTCTGAGTGCATACTTTTATCAGATATGTTCTTCAGCAGAGAAAAAAGGAAGAATTAAAGGGATTTGGGTCAGGTGAACAGAATGAGTGGTCAATCTGTACTACTGTATAATCTGAACTGTGCGCTACCCAGTTCTTTACCATGGCACATTCGGATGTAGATTTCTTTTTTAATTCAGTGAGTTGTCTCTCTACATCTATGGGCGCTAACTGTGCCCCTCGGCTGAGTGACTTGTTATCATTTTTATAAGAGGTTAAATTTATCGAAGTATTTATCAAAACAGATCACAACAACAAAGACCTTGCATAGCCGTGTAATTTCTTAAATAGCTAAAATGCATTGACCACGTCCATCGTATATATAGATGTATCCACCAGGAAACCAATTGCCTAATTAACTACACGCACAACCTAAATGTACAAATATAAGCCAGACCTGTTAAAATACATATCACTCCAACGTATTTTGGGTAAAGAATAATGACAGTGTTTTGCTGATTGCCCTAACAGCTTGATATAAAAACACAACTTTATTAAAGTATCAAATGTCTTTGTAAAAAACATGTATTTAAGCATAAAGCATTTCGGTCCTTGACAGCTGCCAATGTCACTTAAAAGAAAAATATTTTGGTAAAAGAATTGATAGAAAACATAAAATCATTGCATTGAATAGCCTGCATGATGTTTGGATGGCTAGGTGTTTGCATGATTGTCATCATTTTAAATGAGATGTTGATAAGTAAGAATGGTACCTACAAATCATAAATCTCTACGTAACCATAAAATACTACAAAATCCTTGAAACTAAACTCCGAGGTTCTATTCTTAACAATAACCACATATACCGTATATTTTCAGGATAAAAGACTATTTATACTTCGTGTAATTAATAGCGTTTACTATTCAGATGCTATCAATTTGATACAGAACATTGTGGCATTTTTATCAAGCCAACAAGAGAGAAAAAAATACACATAGCAAGTACAGCACGTTTGTTATATTTTATACATTAAAAAGAAGCGATATAAAGTAAATATCGCTGTGGTTGAATATACCAGTAGCACAGTAAATAATTTGAGCGATACCAGGAAAAAATGCCAATAAAGCCATTATACAATATACTTATTATTGTTATGGTAAGCGCTAAACACTTAGATACTTATTTCGAAATCACCGACGATAACGGATCCTTTTTGAAAGACGACGTGCAAACTTTATGCAGTTGTGATATTCCAAGACGGTTACCTAGCAGCATAAGTTGGAAGTGTTTAGATAACATATCATTCATCACAAAATTGAATAAACGATGGATATATTTTATCGAGTTTAATCGAGTTTAACAAGTTATCGACAAAGTATAAGAAATAGATCCTTTACAGTGGATATTTTTTTTGGTTGATGATAAACTCGAAAGGGACTTGTTTTCATAACCAAAGTAGGCTTAACATGCAACACACATCGTGTTAAGAAATAAATTTGTTAATGAAACTGATACATGAAACATTCCATTAACCAGTGCATGGCATATTTCGAGACAGATAACATGTATCGAAACGTAAAATTCAAAGGTGATGAACGAATATTTCTTCACAAAAAATGACATGCAATATTACAATAATCTACATAGCTAAGTGAGTAAACATATAAACCAATACAGGCTGGTGATTCACACTACAGAAAAAAGTAAATCAAATGATTACATTCATTGACTGCTATATTCACATGTTTGTATTATTTCCTAGAAGTTTTTGTTTAATATGGGAATAAAATTGTCTCGGTTTTAAAAGTGTGATAAGATTAAAACAAATGAGATGTACTATAGCTATCGTTAGTCATTCTGTCTACAACAGTTAGATAGATCCTGTTATGCATAGTCCATGTTCCGATACATTTTTCAAACTGCACCTCAAGAAAATATCATATATTACTAATAAATCATGTTCACCGGCTAGACGTTAACCGCACTCAAATAAATGAGTGAATGAAAATTTTGGGGAAATTTTACGGTCGTCATAGTGATTTCATTGAGAAATATTCTATTCCTTTATGCGATATGACGATGAACTTGTTTGAGAGTCGTTAGTTTTCCTGTCAGTCCGGTTGTTGTATATTTGAGAACCTGACATTTCTTACTTGATCTGACCAAACTTTACACGGCGGGTGTCGGAGACGACTCAGAACACGTTTGAAGTCCCGGAATACCTGCAGGTAAATCTCTGTTTTGTTAATAATTTGTCCTAGTTGTATTTGAATTAGGATTATGATTACGTTGACTTGTTGGTGTTTTCTTGCATGTGAGTGTTATATCGTAATGCGAACCTGTATAAGACAGCTTGTATACAGCTTTACGGCGTCGACCTGTCAAATGAGTGACTATTCCCTAGAACGGAAGCAGTAGAAAGACAAAAGACACACAAGTGAATAGAATCTTTCAAAACAATTTGTATTTATATACAGTAGAGCCAAAAAATTAAATAAACTACACCATGCCGCTGTTTCGTCCTTATAGAATTCGTAAGTAGCGCTAAGGCTTTAATTATGAAACCTTGGAAGCGACTTAGAAAAATAAAAAAGTTTTACAACACCCCACCCCCGCTTTAAAGAAAAGTCAGTGACAAATAATTGAATTCTAGGTTACATGAGTTCTTCTGTTTTTATTACTAACGTAAAACGAATATCCCGTGTTCTCAATACAGGCTTACACTTGTGTTTCCATTCAAATGTATACTGGCATCATAAACACATGCATGTGAAGTTCTGTTGAAATGATGCAATATTTAGAACGACTAAATTTATCTAATTGTGGAGTTAGTGAAGATACCTTATGTTTCCACACTTATTGCGATCATGTTTTCCACAGTCTCTTATATTTTCAACACTTTTAACCCCTGGCATCACTGACATTTATTACAAGATCGAAACTGCTTTATGATACAGTAAAGGTCATAAAGATATTCTAAAGTTCTGACCACAGCCATTCAAATTCCAGATTTCAATTTTTAGTAATGAAAGTTTTCGTTAAATTGAAAGGTGAAAAGTGGTACAAAGGTATGGCTGTGATATATGCTGGAGTATCCGGCCGTGATTCGTTTCATGGAACGGACGTGTGAAGGTCTTGGTTCACCTGCCTGGTTTTTCCGATTTTCCTCTCACAGTAAGAACCCTCGCGCACTTTCATCTGGGCCAAGGGCCAACAAGGGTGATTCATATAAACTGGAAAAAGTTGTTTTGCATTTTTTGGAGAATGAATTAAGTTTAATTTACAATATATATAAGGAATATAAAAATCTGTGTGCGGAACGACATCAAAATATTGTTCTGGTTGACATTATAGTAATCGAGTGTTGTGGTAGGATAATCCACCTGACTACTGACAAGCTTATGGAAACAAATTGTTTCCCTCTGCTGATTTATTTTATTATTTTCATACGAGGCTGATGATTTCGATTTCCATACTGTAATCTTCTAGATAGCAGCATTGGTGGTAACATGTTGCAGTCCATATTCACTGGTTCCAATGTATTTTTGTAAGATGTCGTTAAGACTACTTTATTCACAACACAATGTTTTGAGAAAAGCAGGTTAATAAAGAAAAACGGAAAATTTCATGATCATCATGAAGATCTCATTGCGAAACATATTATTCTCTTGTCATAAGGTCCAGGTGTCAAATAACAGGCTCTGTAACTTATACAGTGTTGAACTATGGGATTTGTCTCATTTAAGCACTGAACTGCTAGCAGATGGCACTGCACTCTACAGTTGATATGAATTATCTAATCTACAGACGATTAAAATGTCGGCCTTTATATTAACATTTATATATATTACCTGGTTTAATTTGCGTCCTATCAACAGTCATGTTTATTTATGGAACACTTTTCTTTTTGTGTGTGTATGATGCTAGGTATCCTGCAAATGCATGTATTGAATACCTGTTTTGTGGGAGTCTGGTATGTTTCGTCCAGACGACGGAACAAAAAACCTTCATCACCAACCAGGTCAAACGCTCAATCAAAGGCCAAAAGTGAGGCAATAACAAGGGAGAAATTAGATCCTAAGTGAAGTCGGCCCTAACGATCAAGCAGTGGGGTCAGCAGGTTTGGTTTATTGTTTGGTTTATTGTCACTTTACATCCTATTGACAGCCAGGATCATATAAGGACGTTCAAGGTTTGGATGGTGAAGAAAAGAATTCCCGGGGAAAAAACCTACGATCGGTCTGTGGCCAGTACCTGACGACTGCCTCACAAAGGCATAAAACCCGCGACCCAGAGGTGGAGAGCTAGTGATAAAGACGTCAGGTGCCTGAATCACTCAAGCACCGCGGCCCTGGGCTAGCAGGTATGATTAGTTTAACCAAATCGAAGGGCGCCATGTATTGATGTATAATTTTTTGGAAGTAAAAGTAATACAAAATTTATTGAAATTTCCCGTACCACCAGCTACTAACTGAAGGATAGTGGGCACAAATTGAGCTTGACTTAACTCTAATTACAGTATTTTATGTTTTGCGTTTGTATAGGGTAAACGATGTTTATTGAGCATTGATATCTAGTTCAGAAGTGAGGCGGCTTAAGTCTCAAAACTCTCCAAAACGTGGAAAAGCATCGAGTGCATCATTCAATGATATTGTATGTAATTTCAGCAATCGCAAGTCTGGAATCATTAAGTATGGTGTGTGTAATCAGTCGCTTGCACATTGATTTAATCAGCAAAAACAATAAATCGGAAAATACCACCAGATTAACTTAATCCGAATTCAGACTTAAAAAGCGATGTAACAAGAGCCAAATGTGCACAAGATACACTCTTTGAAAACATAACAACACGTCAACATAATTTTAATTAAAATACAAAATCAACAAACAAGGGTAAACTATGAACAAATGAAAGATTTACGCTCTTGAAAAGAACAAGGAGAATAAGACCAGGTGTTCCAGAAGAGTAAGCGTCTTCTTCATCAAAGACACTCGCCATGTAAACCTTAGCCAAATTAAATAAGTATTGTCACGTTCTCAAAAGAGAAAACAAATACGAATAATGTGTTCCAGAATGTTGAGTGTTTTCTGTTTTAACCACGACACAAATAATTACACTATGGCCAATAAATGTGCTCGACTGAGAACCTGTATAACTACAACACGACCAATGGACTTCACTGATATGCATCCCTCCAAAAAATTTGTAGTAAAGATTGTAAAAATTCTAATTAGGAGCATTTGACCTAAATATGAATTAAACTGCCACAAATACCTGTTTTGCCACTCTAGAACTCTTCAGTGATGCTAGACTGCAAATTTATCATAATGTTACGAAACGTGAAATAAATCCCGTTATTTTAACGTTAAATGTTAAACGTAAAACTCACGGGAAAAGAGCACAGGCGTTATATTAGCTTGAGATTGCCTTTTAAACGTTTAAATACAATTACAATAACATTGGAATTTTCATCTTCGTTAAATTCAAACGTTAAAAAATCTTAACGTCGGACTTTATTGTTAGTTATCGCTGACAGTTAACGTTATATAAAAGTTAAAATGACAATAAAATGTTTTTTTTACCTAAAATGTGGGAATAAATTACAAAAAAACCCAGGTCGGAAAAGTGTTCTAACCCTATATTTAAATTTCACAATTTTCAGTATGAAATGATTTAAAAAGAACGTCAAGTACATATTTATTATCTGAATCGTGCCACTATTCGTAACAAGCACATTAAGGAAAATGCTGACATGTCAATATATTTAGAGATCAGGTAAGATGAAATCTGGTGAATCATTTTAAAGCGCAAGAAGTTCAAGTCAAGTGTGTGAAGCGGTGAGGTGTGTGAGCTATTCATGATGAACATATCATTACGGGCTCAAAAGAGTCAATCAGTGCGGTTTCTGTAGATATTATAGGATGACGGATATGCTTACTACTCAGAAACACATTGGTTTGGCTGTCATAACCCTAACCCTTACCCACACACAGATATCAACACATACTGGTTTACATATTATGTAGATCTAAAGATACTTTGATTAAAAGGCAATAACTCTGAGCATATAATACCATTACAGCACAATTAATTTACACTTTAGTAAAAGCAATATTGAAACAGAAAACATTTTACTAAACATGCTGTGGTGTATTTAAAATATTACTTACCTCTTCATTCAGAAAGCAAAACAGTATTGCCAAAATAAATCCCTGGAATAAAAAAAACAAATTGCACTTATAAATACTCAGTGCTCGCAATGAGGGATCTTGAACGATGCTGTTTTCCATGATGATCATACCACATCATTACAGGTGTAATTATTACTTTATATATAACGAGAGATCGAAAAAGCCAGTGTAAAGTACTACGGAAAGGTGAAACGGGATAAAGGCAATACTGGACCGGCATAGTGTATGTAAACAAAACTTTAAAAATATGAATAAAAGTCTGAAGCTAGAGGAATGATGCCGTAAAGGGAAAAAATCCTATGTCATTATATTAGAGTGATGGTTGTAGCTTTGTCATCTTGAGATCTCAAAAATGAGGCATGGCCGATTTTCGTCTACACAGCAAAAACCTTCAAATACATTGTAAATTGAGGTTACTTAGCACAAAAGGAATGTATTGTTAAGGAGTTAACACCTCTCTATAAAATGAGACATGGCCGATTTTCGTCTACATAGCAAAATCTTCAAACACATTGTAAATTGAGGTTACTTAGCACAAAAGGAATGTATTGTTCAGGAGTTAGCACCTCTCTATAAAATGAGACATCAGTCTCAAACTTTACCTCGAATTAATTTTCAGTTTATACAGAGAGACCGGCATCATTCCAAGGCAAAAATCAAGGCTTATATTTGAGATGGGTCATTCGTCAAAACCGGTTTATTTTCTCCGTGTCCGGCTCATCTTTTTAATGAACGGCTTATTTTCTAACATATACACTGTAAACCCAATATCATTGGTGTGAATTCACTAACGTATCATCATGGTATTCGACTTGTAAAATGTCTCACAATTTTAATTTAAAATGTTACATGATTATATTAAATATTAAGTTACCTGGAAGGAGTTATAGAACATTTCGCCGTACAAATACGGTACATCTAAATCTTCGTCCAATTCCACTCTGAACAGCACGGCGAATACAATGTAGCACACGCCAAACAGTGGAATCAAAACGCCGATGAACTTTGTGAGTTTTCTAAAAGCGAACAAATCTAGTTTTGAATTATCAATAACACAACGTTTGAAAGTATTTATAGGCCAACTATGTCGAGTAATTGCTCTCATTAAACATCAACAACATCAGGAAGTATCATTAAATTCGTTTATAAGTTTTTATAATCATAAGAACAGAAATACGTAAGCATGTTAACAAAAGTATATTTGGAAGTATATCAATTGTGACTGTTTAAAGTTGTTGATGAATAAAAAATGAACACGTAATAATTAGCAGGTATTTCTTACCTTACTTTCCGCGCCCCAGATACATTTCTATTAGTCTTAACTCGGGTGAATAAAACCCGTACTATATTAATAAAGAAAACAAAATTAATCTGAAAGAAAAAAAACATGCATTAGATAGTTGACTCCATATAAGTATCAGAAATGGAAAAAAAAGGGAAATTAAAATGCATATTTACAGCTATCAGATTTTACATTACTGATTTTTTCCGCTAATGTTTTTGAGGCAAACACAATAGAATGGTTTCAAACGATAGGCAGAGGTTATGTTTAATAAACAAAAGACTCAATACTACGGAAACCTGACTACTGTCCAAGACTTTGGCCATCAATTGAAATAGCCATGTGTACATTACAAATGTCATTAAACGGTAACATTGTTCTATAATGCGTTTTATCCCTGGTATCACAAGCGGACATCTAAAGTCAATATAATACCATTTGATCCTTGGTGTTATAAGTGGACATATTAGGTCACTATAATGCATTTTATCCCTGGTATATCATGTGGTCATCAAAGGCCACAGATGACAATTACTTAGTTTTCCAACCTCATTCCGGATTTGATCCTGGTTTTATTTACCGTATACCGCTGATATTGCGTCAACCTTATATTAATGTATTATTCATATAGAACCTGACAACATATTGGCAACCGTATGTTCATACATATATATCATTGCTACCAACTGTACAATTTGAAGTGTCATCTTGGTTGCGATCGAAGTAAAGTTACATGTCAAGTAAATGAGCTCAAACATACGATTGCCTCTCCTTTGATCGAGATGTGTATACTTTGAAATAATTGAACAAACAAAGGATAATTTCCTTCCAACGAAACCAACATGGACAGCTCTCCACCAAGCTGTGTGATTAACGAAGTGATTTCAATTTCCTAATGTGAAATTTCCATTACTTGATAACAATATATCTTCATCCTCAATCTATGATGTTTACATGTCACAGTTGTTTCGATATTCAAGGGCCTGTTCCTATTATTACGATTGTCGTGCAATTCGTCAACTGAACTGGGAACTCGTAACACAAGGTTTCAAAAGATGAAGGTTGATGAAAGTTATGGGGAAGGTATTACGGTCTTCATTGTGATCCGACAGTGAAATATACTTCTCATTTGTGCGATATCAAGCTAGTCATGTTTGATGCCTGTTGGTTCCGTTATTGTATACCTTAATCTCATTTGAAAACGTGACATTACTGAACTTGGATTGATCAAAATTTATATTGTGGATGTCGTTAAAGAAGAAGAAATTTACTCATTCGGATCACGTGGTCTTAAAATCCTAGCACGTATTGAGGATCTCTGGGTTTGTACATTTCGCCCACGGCAATATTTTCCTCTTACCGTGATTGAAATGAGCCAATGAGTGAATTAAAGGAATTACAATCTCAAAAATATGTCAATTTGTCCATTTTTTTCATTATCATTGATCATGACATATGAAACATATTCAACATTTACATGTAAATGACAATAACAATAGTAACATCTTCTTACCACAGTCGTAAGTATAATTGGTGCTGTGATGATCAACATGAATTCCTTTGTAGGACTGGTATTCCAGCATCTGTAAAATGTAGTTTTATAATGGAAATATCATAAGCAACAATTCAGATGTGTCGCCTTAACCATCGTAATTTCGATCCACTTAAAGGCATTTCCTCGACTTTCCGATGCTGTTATATAATATCAATTCAACTATTACATCAAATTGTTTTGATTGATTTCCATGTCTCTATTACACGTACTTTTCCAAACCCAACTCTGTAAGTCAGGTTGTGTTATGCTAAGCGTGCAGCTTTCGTGAGTAGGAAGGAAAACCACTTTTCCAACTCCATTTTCGGTAGAAGTTAGAGGTAACAAACAAAACGTTTTAGGAAATGAAACCAGCATTTTTATTATCAATTTGCTTCAGTTATATACTCTTTAGCCGCTTATTTTCGCGGGGATTATACTTTCGCTATTTCGCGAAAAATCACCAGGTATATGGTAACAGGAAAATGTCTGAAGAATTTACAAAAGAAACAGCAAGGCCAAATAGCGAATTAAACTGCATCATACAGCTATTTCGTCCTTCTTGAATTTATCAGTGATGCTATATTATGAAACTTAGGACGCAACTGAGAATATTGAAATTGATACAAGAAATGTCAAAATCTAGATAAGGAAGCTGCATAAGCCCCAGAAATCAATACATTTCGTTATTTTCACATACATGTACCAGTTTATTTAGGAACAACGTCAAGTACATGTGTAGATTCTGATTCGCACCATCATCAAATTTAATTAAAACATATTTGTTTATCAAATATAGTTAACACATCCGTCGTCTACTTACAACACGTCCTCTAGGTTGATCCTAACGATGACCCACGGTACAATGAATATAACAGGTAACACTGTAAAGCGATGTAGAAGGATATAAGAACAATGTTATACAACATATAACAATGATATATATATTTTATAATAAATAGTATTAGGGCAAGCCATATCACATACATAAAAACAAATATGTATATACCCATAGTAATTATTTCGTTATATATATCTATCAAATAATACCAAATATATATTCAATGACCAGAATAATCACCGGGCTCTCTTTATGCGTCCACATTTATAAACCAAAAACCTAAAAATATTTCGGCATTGAAGTGGTGTATTTATATACGATAACAGCATGATAGCATATCTAGTAAACTTTATGAGGTCTGCAGAAAAAAACATAGTTCAGGTATAATTGTGAATCTACAATACATCATGTGTTATATTGCTAAATTGCCTATTTCCCGATTTGCTGACGACTAATAATTGTAAAGCTGGATGTGTTTACTGCTCGTTAGTTTGCCTACTATTACGTTGTTGCATGTTGTATACCTTGTTCTCTTTTGAGAACGTTACATTATTTATTTGGTTGGACCAAGGTTTACATGACGGCTATTGTCAATGAAGAAAAAGACGCTTACTCTTTAAGTACACCTGGTATTATTCCCCTTGCACTTTTCTAAGAGTCTCCTTGCAAGTCTTTCATTTGTTAATTTTTTTGTCCCAGATTTATTGAATTTGAGTTTGGATTATGATTATGTTGTTTTAAATTGTGAACTGCTTTATTTCGATCTGACATTCAATAATATTCCGATTAAGTGAAAATCAGTCTATTACAGTTAATAAGCAGTTTGAAACTGAATCATTACATGCATGGCAGGTAACGACACAACCGTATTAGCGTAAAACACTAACAATATGTGAGGTCTAGTTGTTTTCACATTAGTGAGCTTTGACTTGTTTTGTTTTTATCGTTGTCGGATGAAACAGCAAAAGAATAGAAGGATTGTTTAAGCCAGTTCATTAAAACGAAATGCAGTAATTCCGAGGGTTCTTATCTACTCCTTTCTTATGCCGCGTCAGCCATTATCGCTCAGCGCTGTCAGAAACATGTTCTAGTCGACGCAAGCAGAACGCAAAAAATAACCTCTTTCATGGCAGTGATACTTTAGACTCACAAGGCTAGTGATTATATCACTTCTAATACTTGAAAAGAGATATGTTTTTTTAATACTGGATTCAAATTCTAAAATAGTTCGGTTTGGATCACCATGTAGGTAAGATGTCAAAATGATATTTACTGTGATTTCATAACATAATTCATAAAGACGGCTAAATTTTCGATGTTTATCTCTTTACTAAACTTTTTTTCTTCGCCATTACTTCAATTTTGGTCTAACTGTCGAGGTTTCTCCGAAATGTGTGAGGTTCCATTCCATGTCTCTATTACACGTACTTTTCCAAACCCAAATCTGTAAGTCAGATTGTGTTATGCTAAGCGTGCAGCTTTCATGAGTAGGAAGGAAAACCAATTATCCATCTCCATTTTCGGTAGAAGTTAGGGATAACAAACAAAACGTTTTAGGAAATGAAACTAGCATTTTTATGAAAAAATTGCTTCAGTTATATACTCTTTAGCCGCTTATTTTCGCGGGAATTATATTTTCGCTGTTTCGCGGTACATTAACGTGATAGCGAAAATGTAATCCGTGATATAATGAGACACGTTTGTATAAATGTCCATTTACATCAAGATCGCAAAATCTTTATTTATTGAAATATCATTCGATCGTCTGAAATGAAAATCGCACAAATGTTGACCATGAAAATCACCAGGTATATGGTAACAGGAAAATGCCTGAAGAATTTACAAAAGAAACAGCAAGGCCAAATAGCGAATTAAACTGCATCATACAGCTATTTCGTCCTTCTTGAATTTATCAGTGATGCTATATAGGCCTGAAATATTGTGAAACCTAGGACGCAACTGAGAATATTGAAATTGATACAAGAAACGTCAAAATCTAGATAAGGAAGCTGCATAAGCCCCAGAAATCAATACAGTTCGTTATTTTCACATACATGTACCAGTTTATTTAGGAACAACGTCAAGTACATGTGTAGATTCTGATTCGCACCATCATTAAATTCAATCAAAACAGGGATGCGTGTATTCATTTCAAAATGACAACGAATTCTTTGACAAGTGGAAAAGTTACATATACCGTGGTGCAAGCAATTATCTCTCGTACTCAAGAAAATACATCATGTTAACCATCATCAATGTTTTTTTTTCAATTCACATTTGAAACAAGTAAGTACACCTGGTATTCTGATATTTGATATTGCCGACAGTCTTCCATGCTCTTGACATGCCTACATGAAAGGTGATCGCCAGGGCACAATTCAGCATCAGGTGTATGTTTTTTACAGTGATGTTATTTAACATTACAGGAATACTACTAACATAACGTATGTTAGCTTGAATGAATTTTCACGTTTTTCTTGATTACATTATAGTTTGAATCCTGTACACAGATGTGATACCAGGAAATATCATCAAAAGAAAAGCTATTTCATTATATATCTGCACTTTCAATATTTAGAAATATCAAAGTGATAACCGCGCTATTTTTCACACAACTTTTTTTTTTTTTTGCTTGCAGACTTGCACCAATGAAAGAAGAGAACACAATTCATCTTATGTAATTGACAAATCATAAAACCTCGTAAAAAATAAAATACAAAACCAGGCATGTGATGCGGCCAGGGTTGTTTACTATATAGTGACACGACTTTCACTTACATGGAAGTCAGCGAACAATACCAGCCAGTAACTTAAATAACCGCATCAGAAGCCAAATCCAGTCCCCAATCGAACTTCTTGAAAGTGGAGCTAGACATTTCAAGAGGATTCGTGTCATCGACAGAGGGAGCATCTACCTAGGTTGCCCCTTTATTTTCTGCCGCGTAGTAACTTATCATAGACAATAATTTTTAAACTCTCTCTGAACGTTTTACAGCAAATTTTGTCTGTTACCCACCATGATTATTAAAGTTAATCTTATTCGAAATTTATTTTGTGCTGATGTGTATACTGTTTTCTGTTAACGGATTATATTTTGTCGCGTACTGCGGAGTAACAATGAGTGAGTAGTGACGGCAAAAAAGCATATTCAGCTTCGCCATTTTATTACTGTCCTAAACTATACCAGTATTTGACTATTTTGCTTGTGAAAATGTAATAAATAGAATGTTTATTAGTGTGTTCAGTAATGTTAGGCATTTCACTCGTGTGTCTATGAGTTTTGCTTCGCGCTCGTGAAAAATACTTAAATATTCGACATACTTTCGAAATATATTACTGAAGGTACTATTCAATATCCTTTATGTCCACAGAGAAAGGAAAAGATGTCAGATACGGAATCTAAAGAAAGAAACATTTAAGTTTGTATAGTAATGTTTTGCCTTAAACTATTGGGTATACATAATTCTAATATCTTGTATTATCTTTCTGAAATAAAAAAAAAGTAGTAAAGGTGTGTAAGACAAACATAATTTGATTCATAAGATATTTTCTATACAAGATGTAATATACTCACACCAGCCGAGGAAGATGTACATTTTCACACCATGTCGTTCCGTGAACAGAGTCCGGTATACCAGGACATGTAAGTACAGGGCTTCCATAAAGATCCACATACTAGTAGTCAATACACCGTACACGAACAATGTAAACAGAAGTTTACACTCCCAGTGCTGTTTAACAGAGGTAGTAAGCAGTGGTATCAGTAAACTTAACACTTTTTTTGTTACCTTAAGTTTAATTGCTAGTTAGTATCAAGCTAGTCACGTTTGCTTTATATGTACCCGATGACCTCGGAAAGAAATAAGGACGCGAACATTACCATACAATTAAGTTTGTTTAAAAATTCTACAAAAGACACACAAGTGTCACAAGTAACATCTCTCAATTCAAATTTAGAATTTAAGAAAGAAAATCCAAATGATGAATTTAACATCGATATTTTGTCCTTTTAAGTATTCGTTAGTAGTGCTAAATTTTGAAGCCTAGAAGGAACTAGAACATCAAAATTGACAGAAATTTCAAATCTAAAACAAATTTATGTACTAGTCTCACAAATTCTAGTTTTATGTTTCATCCAGTTTCACAAAGTCGTAGTTAACAGTTCATTGAGTGATCGATCGGGCGTGCGGCAACTTCCATAACCATAAATAACAAATTGAAATTAAAGGGCATAAATGTGAATTCATATCTACCTTTGATATACTACAGTGTAGTAGTAGATTTGAATATAAGTATTATGAAATATCATGTAGACTTTATGTGCTTAATGCATACATTTCTCGCTTAGTAAGTAAGCTATACTTCAATTTATTGTCGCACATATCCCGCGTATGAAACAATAGATAAACAAACGTCAGCAATGAAGCATGTTTTGAACGATATGGTATGGATTTCATTGGTGCGATTTGTGAAGTCGTTAGAATACACTATATAATGATGTATCAACAATCACTAATTGAAAATGACTTTACAACATTTTCTAGTAACACGATGTCCAATAGTAGAATGATATTTAAAGGAAACCGTTCCAAGGACTAGGTTCAGTGACTACCTCACTGAACAACTTACGGGAGACCCATCACATGCCCTTCAGAGCAATTGGGGAAACGTGTCTTGCTCAATGCCACAACCACGTCAGCGCAGACCGGAACTTCTTGAGAAACACAAATCGCTAAAAGTAGAGAACATCGAACTGCGCACCTCAAGTTACATCCCCCTACTAAATGTTACATACCGAATTGCCCCTTATTAGCTGGTACTTACCAAAGAGCCATCATTCCGGAACATGATGCCCTCATCGCTCCGGATAATATCCTTTTCCAATCCTAGGCCGTCCACAAACAAGCTGTCTTTCAGAAAGGACATGACGGCACGGAAAATGAAGGCCAGGAATAAGTTGATATGTAGCGTGTTACTCTTAGAGTTGAGCCGTCTGTAAAATGTAAAATATCAATGCAGCCAATAAAAAATAGAATGTGACGTATTCGCGTTTCAGGTTTTCAGGAAATGGAAAAAAAAAAAATATCGGCCATTTACATTGGCAATATCGTTCTACTAATCATCAAAAATACCGCTAAAATACTGGTGATATTTTACTTGTAGGGGATGTTGTACAATGTTGTCATGTGATTCAAGTTTAAAATTCTATTGAACAGTTTTTGTCTTTTTCTTGATGATGAAAGAGCTCATGTTATAAAGGATTTGATCTACTTTGTGATGATGTTAGTGATGATACAACAGCCACAGTAACGCCGTGTTCGTATTATGACGTAATAGCAAATATGTTTCAGGTCTACGGTGTCTAAAACATCACCCAAAAGCTGTTATTTCCGGTAATTCAACTCCGTTTGTGTTGATTGATTTCCGCGAGTTCGTTTTTGTACGAGAATATGTTGATAAAGTGTTATTAACTCTGTAACGATTTCCTGTGTTAATCAAACACTGATGCAAGTGAGGTACCGACATCATATAACGGATGAGTTTATTTCACGAAACAGGACACCTGAACAACTCCAGCGGCAGTTTTTCCAAAGTATTTTGATCCATACTTATAAACCTCTATGGATTTTAGAACGTTATACAGGATTTCCATGTACAACCTGCCTCTCTCAAGCGTTTAAAATCATCATGATTTGATATCATTTGTTATCAAATGTCCACGACCTGACAAACGCCGACAGTGTTAAGACTCTTGACCGTTAGAAATATTGGTGTAACATTTGTACATATTGTTATTAATACTTTGACACGTGGTTTCACAGCAGTTGTGTTCTCATAGAGGTTGTGTTTTCACTTCGGCATATTTTTGTTGTTTTATCCATATTGGGGTCACACACTTTCCCTAATTATATCCTGGTCTTCATCATCCTGTTGTTATTGTCAACGAGCATGGACATGACACTAATGCAATCGTCTTGATTACAAAAATACTTAAAGACAGAAATATAAACACAAGATACAGATTAATGTTCGGGTCGAAAAAACTGTGCTTTACTTTTGTGTTTTGATAACCCAGAGTAGCAATGCACGTTTGGGCTGATGTCGATTAATTTCACAAACTCTATACACATTGCTAACAATTGAAAATAATTGCATACATCTTTGAATACCTTAAATTAGTTTACGCCGTGATCTTGTGGCAGTGAAAACATTCATCACATCTTAAGAAAGACTGTAAATGTTGTGGAGTATAAAGGGAACCTCGTAACTTCACAGGATGGGCCACAAATTGTGGTAAATATCTTGCAATGTCTATATATATATATATCCCATGACGGGAAATTAATTAAACACGGGAACTATTTCGATACGAAATTCGTAATTGAAACCTTCGGATCAAGACACATTTTGTATATGATGCATTTTTAGTGATAAAACTAACAAAGGACGACAATTTTGAACTAGTGACATATCAGGGCCTCGAACTAAAGGATACGTCAACAAATCGCTAAGCCAAAAAATTCGAGAACTGCCAACTACACCACACAAACATCCCCAAAAAAGGATGTTTGGAAGTTGTAGTGATAGACAGCTGGAAATTCTTTACATGGCGTGATGATACATTATAATGTAGATGTATTGTTACATCGCGTGACAGTTAATATACACTTGGATATGCATTGACAATGTCGTTTGGTAGTACCTACCTACAGCACAGCATGATGAAGACAGCGATGACAAGAGAACACAAAGAGACACCATAACCTATGTTGTACATTAGTCGAATTCTTGGCATGTGCTCCTGTAATAAATATATCATACCAAATATATTACAAATTTGTCAAGATTAAAGCAATTTCAACTCAAGTCAAAATAATTTCACTGTCGACTGTAAAACTACTTCGTGATCATATAACGGAAATGAAACATGGGATTGGAAAATATCTAGTTAACGTACATTTAAACAATGAAAATGAAATACATAACCTACACAATAATGCCTTTGGATTATACTTTATTCATATCTAACATTTAAACAGTTTATATTGATAATATATTACTTTCATTCATTTTAAAATAAATACGAAACTAGTTACCCAACTTATATCGTTCCAATCACGTATATTGACCCGGATGGAAGTGCGCTTGGTGTCTAACATATATTTTTGGAGGAACTCGGAGTACCAGGGGAAAACCCACGTTATTGGGCAAATGACGCTATACATTTTCATGTTCGTCCGCACACTGGAACTCGGACGTCTTGGTCAACAATTCCCTACTATTACGCCACCCAACCACCCGACCACCCAACACATCAATACCCTCCAGCTAACCCTTTACTATGCCTTCGTGATACAAAGAAACGTACGCACGCCGATAGTAGTGAGTCCTTTTACCGGGACACACGGAGTGTAATCAGACCACGTGCTGTTCGTCTTAGGGTTGATAAACCAAGTACCATTTTCTGTGCAGTGTCTGCTGGCAAACGCTGAAATTTGATGAAAGCATTGAAATAAGTCAAATATCACATGCCATAAACATCAGTATTTAACGTAATATGGACGAACATCCTCGCTTATGTGAATGTTTTGAAAGATCTAAACACAAACACGTTGTCTAGAAAAAAATCAGGGACGACAAGTTAAAGCGAATATTGTGTATGTATTGTAAGCATCTTTTGGTAAAATAAGACAAATCAATTCATTCATTCAGCTTTACCCGACTTCTTGAAGCCATCAACGTAGGTTGCACAAGGCTGTGTCGCAATTGTCCCAGCAGGTGTGGCATTCCAGCACATAACATCATCCCAAGCCACGCCACAGAAAAGTCCTATCATAAAGATAGTTAACAACAAGCATTATATTAAGCCTTTTTAGATTAAAGATATATGACAGACAGACAGACAGACAGACAGACAGACAGACAGACAGACAGACAGGAAAAAGCAGAAGATAAAGAGAATCACATCTCAGTCAGTAAATGAAAGGGCACTCTAACAACCAAGCAAACAGACATACTGATAGACTGATAAAATAACGGTTAAAAAGATGGACAAAAAAGCAAACTTGTAAAAAGATTGTACATCAAATGGCATACGGTAGAACAATATACGAACAAACGGTGGGTAACATGGAATGAAATACAGACAAAAGGTACATAGACAAACGGGTAGGTACATAGAACGATATACAGACACACGGGTAGGTACATAGAACGATATACAGACACACGGGTAGGTACATAGAACGATATACAGACACACGGGTAGGTACATAGAACGATATACAGACACACGGGTAGGTACATAGAACGATATACAGACACACAGGTAGGTACATAGAACGATATACAGACACACAGGTAGGTACATAGCACGATATACAGACACACGGGTAGGTACATAGAACGATATAAAGACACACGGGTAGGTACATAGAACGATATACACACAAACGGGTAGGTACATAGAACGATATACACACAAACGGGTAGGTACATAGAACGATATACAGACACACGGGTAGGTACATAGAATGATATACACACAAACGGGTAGGTACATAGAACGATATACAGACAAACGGGTAGGTACATAGAACGATATACAGACACACGGGTAGGTACATAGAACGATATACAGACACACAGGTAGGTACATAGAACGATATACAGACACACGGGTAGGTACATAGAACGATATACAGACACATGGGCAGGTACATAGAACGATATAAAAACACACGGGTAGGTACATAGAACGATATACACACAAACGGGTAGGTACATAGAACGATATACAGACACACGGGTAGGTACATAGAACGATATACAGACAAACGGGTAGGTACATAGAACGATATACAGACACACGGGTAGGTACATAGAACGATATACAGACACACGGGTAGGTACATAGAACGATATACAGACACACAGGTAGGTACATAGAACGATATACAGACACACGGGTAGGTACATAGAACGATATACAGACACACAGGTAGGTACATAGAACGATATACAGACACACAGGTAGGTACATAGAACGATATACAGACACACGGGTAGGTACATAGAACGATATACAGACACACGGGTAGGTACATAGAACGATATACAGACACACGGGTAGGTACATAGAACGATATACAGACACACGGGTAGGTACATAGAACGATATACAGACACGCGGGTAGGTACATAGAACGATATACAGACACACGGGTAGGTACATAGAACGATATACAGACACACGGGTAGGTACATAGAACGATATACAGACACACGGGTAGGTACATAGAACGATATACAGACACACGGGTAGGTACATAGAACGATATACAGACACACGGGTAGGTACATAGAACGATATACAGACACACGGGTAGGTACATAGAACGATATACAGACACACGGGTAGGTACATAGAACGATATACAGACACACGGGTAGGTAAATAGAACGATATACAGACACACGGGAAGGTACATAGAACGATATAAAGACACACGGGTAGGTACATAGAACGATATACAGACACACGGGTAGGTACATAGAACGATATACAGACACACGGGTAGGTAGATATAACGATATACAGACACACGGTAGGTACATAGAACGATATACAAAGAGGTAGTACATAGAACGATATACAGACACACGGGTAGGTACATAGAACGATATACAGACACACGGGTAGGTACATAGAACGATATACATAGATGTAGTACAAAGAAAAATACACTGATAAAAAGGCATGAAATAAGAAGAACATATATGAGAGACACGTAGGTACAGAGAACACTGTTCTGATAAAGAAGTTGATATACAGAACTACACACAGATAAACAGGTTGGTATATGTAGACTGACAATATGAAAAACTGAGCTTATAACAAGTACTCAGAAAAAAGGCATCTGTAGATGGAATGTTTTAACTTTTCAAATATTAATACGAATCTAGTAAATGTGTAGAATTAAAAATACAATTACTTGATTGGGAAATTAAATATCGTCAAAGCTAATTACTGCTCATGTAAAAGAATTTGGAGATATATGTATACCATTTTGATATCGATTTTTATAACACATGACATTCCTTGTCTGGCGGTTTATATGTGTCCATCTTCCCCTGTTTACCACCATGTCGAGAGTAGAGAGGTACGGGTTACTTTTACTCAGTTCATGTCTTCTTGGAAAGCATGTAATATCCTTTTTTCAACACTATTTCGCATACAAGTCACGGATATTTAAGAGCAGAAATTCGTTGACAAGGACATAAAGATGCGCCTTTTTTTTCAATATCACCGTTTTATTTTATGATCATAGCACGAGGTATTGTGAGTTATAAATCAGAAGAACAGAGAAAGATGATGAAATTTAAATTTTGCGGACAGTAATAAATACACAAACAGATAAAAGCTAGCAAATAAAAACCTGTCAGTCATTTGGCTCCATTTATTGAAATTACAATGGCATTAGATGTTCTATTTCATTTACTTAGAAAAAAATATGGGGTACGATAAAGTTGCTATGAAATAAGGAAGACGGGATTTTTTACAAATCCAACCCAAATTATTCTTATATTGAATATCCAAATTATTCATATCACTTTGCCGTGGATGCGCCTCTCCCTTGTTTAAATTTTTTTTTTTCAAATCTTACCCAAAACATTGAATATCCAAATTATTCAAATCACTTTGCCGTGTTATCCGAGTATTCGATTTAAATTAGTTCAAATGTTTAATGTGATTTTTTTTCGGGACCGATGAAATATTTTTAATTAAATGATCCTTTTAGTTATATGAGTTCGAGATAGAGAGGTTCGACTGTGAGTACCAACGAATGACAAAGGACCTCCATATAACTTAAAGTTCTATCATCAGTTAAGAACAGTGTAGTGTCAGAGTTCAACTGTTACAGACACACGGGTAGGTACATAGAACGATATACAGACACACGGGTAGGTACATAGAACGATATACACACAAACGGGTAGGTACATAGAACGATATACAGACACACGGGTAGGTACATAGAACCAGAATCTAGAAGGTCCATGTGAAAAGCGTGTGCGTTACCACTACGCCATTCGACTGCAGCATGTTAATTACCGTAATTTGTAAATACTTCTTACCTGTTAGCATGTAATAATATCACTAGTACCGATAAGAAACAGAGCAAAAACAACACATCACACCTTGTTTGGGGAACAAAAACATACAGACATTGCGACAAAATGTTAATTACATGTTAGGAGTTCCTAATGTTGTTTTACATAAATACCTCCAGTGGGACTTTGGTACGTCTCATTACTGTAGATTTTCTCAAAGCAATCACTTTTTGCCTGTGTAAGACGGAGCTGCTGTTCAATGCGTGTTGAAATGGAATGTGTCTGAAATTAGAGAAAACAGGAAACTATGAATAAACATAGCATATACACTTAATTGTAACGTCTTTCATCCCTGTCCACATGTTGATATTGATCAGTCGTTACTGCTCCTCGCAGACCTTAAATACACACACACACACACACACACACACACACACACACACACACACACACACACACACACACACACACACACACACACACACACACACACACACACACACACACACACACACACACACACACACACACACACACACACACACACACACACACACACACGCGCGCACGCGCGCGCACACACACACACACACACACACACACACACACACACACACACACGCATGCACGCGCGCACATACACGCACACACGCACGCACATGCACGCACGCACGCACGCACCCACACACACACAAGGAATAAAAGAAAACACCCTAAAAACAACAACAGAACTGCTTAAAAATAGGATCACCGAACCGTAAGAATGATATAGACAGATGTTCATAATGGTTTAACATATAGGGTTGTAGAAACGACACCAGTGAATAGCACCTCACAACACAAACCTAGAATTAGATACACTAGAGCGAAATAATCCGACTGAACTACGTCATACATCCCTCTAGGATTCGTCAGGATTCATACCCAAGAGGCGCCTGATGACAATCAGAACTAGTCGAGATGTCAAAAATTAACTGGATAGATATAATAATTCCAAAATTTAATTAATCTTATGATTTCTTAAATATTGAATTAATTCCATGGTAGGGAATGACGACTCTACACTACTACATATCTATTTTCCATGGATGAGTTATGATATAGTAAAGATGATAAAATATGATTGATTCAAATGATGCTTTAGTCTCTATCGTATACTGCTACTACACGCAGCAAAACTCTCATTCTGGCATACATACATGTTGATGTCGTCCTTCGATTACGGCTGAATGTCGATGAATATTCATTAACTTATATAAGTTGCGTTTTACCTAATAAGATACAACTGAAAAAATCGTTTGCTGTCTTCTGTCTCTAAATCAATGAAACCCTGGTAAATACTAGCCGCAATACACCAATCGGTTACAGAAAACCTCTCCCCTAGCTCGTCCGGGTTGAGCGTCTGACTAGTAAACCATGGGTTCCGAGTTCGAATCCTAGCAGAGACATCGAAATAAGGATGCCCGCTGTTACATTACACAGAATGTGTATACATGTAATGTTGTAAATACCGTCTTGTAAAAAGATTTGTGGAAAATAAAAATAGTGTGAGATCATCTGACGAATGAAACTTTCACCAAACTCAATCTAATAATTCGCCCTGTATAAATCACCTCATCTGTTTTACTGTGTATAGCATAATGCTTTCAAATATATAATATCATCGAAAAATGTTATCACTATGACAGACCAAAGCTACAACAAATGTAATGCATGGTGGTATATAAAGAGGTCGTAACATCTAATCCAATGAAATATTTCTCAATAAATATATATATGTTAGATAGGTCTTTTCTAAGTCAAATAAATAATTTTGTCTCCCTTTTACCGATCAAATTAATCGACTATTCCATTGTAATTATTTTGTAACCATGGACACAAATAAAAAAATCGCCTTAGTATGGAAGAGCATTAGTACAACGCAGAGAAACATATAGTAGGTCGAAATTTCGAGTTAGTAATATAAATAAAACGAAATCTTTTTCTGTACGCGGCCCTTATGCTCTTCCGTACCACAGACATATTTAAATCCGAAGACAAATTTATAATCTAAATGACGTAACAACACAGCGTAGAGATTCCATTAATGTCAACTTTACTTAGTTACGATAACAGGGTAATGCTCCGAACAAAATGCTGTTGTCGTGTGGCAGTTTGGAGACTCTGATCATATTATTTATTACTGTCAGCAGATACATCAGTGACGTGTTTATGGGATATCTAACACAGCCTATAATAGATATGGATGGATTTATAGTCATATATCTTACTCGTATAACTTTTAAACCTGTTGATAATTTAAGATAATTAATTGTAATTTGTAATGTCCATTTAATGTAAGTAAATCGCCAGTAACACGACGGAGAGTTTCGGAAACGTATCCGCCAGATCATCCTATATTTTGTACTGTTAAATATACTTAAGTGTTCCTAAACGATTTCATAGGGTCGTTGGATTGACGTGTTCTGTTAATCCGGAACATTTCCTCATTTGACTGATAAGATATATGGCTTGTGCTCTGTAAAAGTGCGAATCATGAACATTTCGAAAGTCATTAATGTAAGGTAGCAAGACAATTTTACGACACCATTCAGACATAATCTTAGCTTCCTAAGGAATGGGTATCGAGAAATTAAAGGACTTACATGTATATCATCCCATTTCACAGCAGATAATCTTTCTTATATTTCTTATATTGGGAGTAATTCATCGACACAAAACATTAACACGCACTGTTGACACGTAATAGTTACTACAGATAAAGGGACAAACAACGTGAATTAAAACACAAACTAGTAGGACATAAGTCAGCAGCGTTTTCCTCAGTGAATTAGAACACAAAATAGTAGGACTAAAGTCAGGAACGTTTTCCTTAGTGAATTAGAACACAAATAGTAGGACTAAAGTCAGGAACGTTTTCCTTAGTGAATTAGAACACAAATAGTAGGACTAAAGTCAGGAACGTTTTCCTTAGTGAATTAGAACACAAATAGTAGGGCTAAGTCAGGAACGTTCTACTTCGTGAATTAGAACACAGAATAGAAGGACTAAAGTCAGGAAGCATTTACTTTGTGAATAAGAATACAAAAACGAAGGACTAAAGTCATTATCGTTTTACATCCAAATGCCTTTATATTTAGTCAAGTCAAAAAGAACTCGTATACGGTGTATAGATATTGATACGAGAGTCTTTAAATTCCAACCATCAGGTGTTTGTGACGTTTTCCACAATGAACTGATTCGTATGGCTTGCTGGACGTCATCGGGATTGCCAATCTCTGGGGTACCATTGTGATCACTTAATATTATATTTATACAAAATTTCCATAAAGTACAGACATAGATTTTATGGTCCCATATTGGTACTAGATCCTAACAAACACTTACTGATAGTAACATTGTCTTACTGGCAGTACCATTGTCTTACTGGCAGTACCATTGTCTTACTGGCAGTACCATTGTCTTACTGGCAGTACCATTGTCTTACTGATAGTAACATTGTCTTACTGCCAGTACCATTGTCTTACTGATAGTAACATTGTCTTACTGACAGTGCCATTGTCTTACTGACAGTACCATTGTCTTACTGCCAGTGCCATTGTCTTACTGACAGTACCATTGTCTTACTGACAGTACCATTGTCTTACTGACAGTACCATTGTCTTACTGGCAGTACCATTGTCTTACTGACAGTACCATTGTCTTACTTACAGTACCATTGTCTTACTGACAGTACCATTGTCTTACTGACAGTACTATTGTCTTACTGAAAGTACCGTTGTCTTACTGATAGTACCACTGTCTTACTGATAGTACTATTGTCGTACTGACAGTACTATTGTCTTACTGACAGTAACATTGTCTTACTGATAGTAACATTGTCTTACTGAAAGTATTGTTGTCTTACTGACAGTACTATTGTCTTACTAACAGTACCATTGTCTTACTGACAGTACCATTGTCTTACTGACAGTACCATAGTATTACTGAAGTACCACTAGAATAGTTTTGGAACATACATTATTTGTTCTCAACATTCTTCTCTTGAGTTTTAAGTTAACAAATGCAACCAGTCACTTGCAGCATTTAAATACATGTACATTATTTTAGAATAAAACCATCATTTGTATTAATAAACCAACGTTTCTTTAAATATATTTTGACCGTGCCATACGCGGTTCACAAAAGTATGGTTTTCAGTTTTCTATCATGTTTTTCCTATCTTGTTTCGATCTGTTATTTAACGGTCCAGTGTAGCCAATGGTTCTAGAATCTTACTGTTAAATGTATCTTAAGTAAACCCGTGCAATACCTTAAGACACGTAGTAGCTGTTCGCCATGCCTTGTTGTCTATCAATTCATTTGCACACTGTATAAAGCGGTTATGTAATCTGCTGTTGAAACACTTGTTGATGTAAACATAGAGAACAGCTTGTTATCGCGGATCTCATAGCATAACGCCAATTTTTCAACGAGATGTTACATACCTAGAACGCACTTCAGCGTTATTTGTTCTAATCTTTTCTACAATGCACATACTTTGGTCTCGCCTTGTGCATAAAACGTTTTTCCTCATATGTTAGAAAACCTATGAGGATAGATGTAGTAATATTTCTATTTTGATGTCCTGCTGAGAAATCAAGACGGAAATAATCTTATTTAAAATCCTTCTTAATAGTGGTAAAATGCTGTAATCATCTTGTTTACAAATTGTATGATTTGCAGAGGTCCGAAGAATTCTTCTTGTGCATATTTCGCCCAGTATTCAGTAAATACAATTATGTTTTCGGGAAGAAAAAAAAGTATAGAATTGATAAAAGATAGTAACTGCGAAATATCTAATAGACAAATAATGTGATACAATATAAAAAGTCTTGATATAAATGATAACATTGGAAACATTTTTATGCCTACTTCAATATGAAGTTGTACATATGCCTTGTAGTTCTGTTGTTGTTGACATTGTTCTCATTAGAGAACCTGGCATATATCACGTGGATTGCACAAAGGTTACAAGGCAGGTATCGTTGATAAGGCTTCCTGATCACCTGTCATTAATTTTTGCTGTACTTCTACATAGGTCTCTGGAAACACATATCATTTTGAATGTGAGTTCGGATTCAACATGTTGGATATTTTTTTAACTTTTATAAAATATAACGAAATATTTAACAATTATAGAATCGCCTAGTTGCTCAACCAAACCCTTGTCAAAGTTTCTTACTACTACTCGTATTGTGATACTGTTTATTCAAGAAGTAGAATAAATGGTATGTGGATGT